CTAAGTTCCATCCCCAGCATCTCCCCTCACCTCCACAAAACAAAAAGTACTTTAAAAAAGTAATTGCAGGGCCGGGGATTTAGCTCAGTGTCATAAGCGCCTACCTGGCAAGCTCAAGGTCTTGAGTTTGATCCTTGGTTCCACAAAAAAAAAAAAAAAAAGTAGTTGCACAAACTTGTAATGCTATCACTAGGGAGGCTGAGCAGGAGAATCCTGGACTACGTAGCAAGATCTTGTCTCAGAAAAGCAAAATCTAGCCAGGTAGAATGGGCCCCAGAGCAGTTACCAAAGTACTGGGATGCAAAGCAGCAGATGCTGATTCAAACACTAGCAGGTATCAGGTGCTACTAAATTTGACAGAAAACAAGGTATGAGAAAGTACAGTGAAACAGAGAACAGACATTTGGCCTTACAAGTGACAGTAAAAAGAGATGAGGACTGCAGGGAACTATTCTTGAGGGGGCAGCCCCAGCTAGGCCCAATGCACTCTGGTCATCCGATTTTCAGAAATCCAAACTCCAGATGTCTCTGTGAAATCTTCCCATTAGTAAATACTGGAAATTACAGCCATTCTGTGAATAAATTCTATAAATTTATTCCGTAGAATAAAGCCAAGCCAGGTCACTGATCGGCTAAATGGAAATCCCAGTTTAGAAGCATGCATCTCAATCAAATGCAAATGATGGTTGAACCTACAATGTGGGAGGTGCTGGGGTCTGGGGAAAAGAGATGGGCAAAACCCTACGGGAAGTGGGGCGTGGTGACACACACTTGTAATTGGGAGGCTGAGGCAGGTGGATCGCCACAAGTTTGAGGCCAATCTGAGCTACATAGCAAGACCCCATCTCAAACAAACAAACAAAAACACCTTACAGAAGACCCTGAAAGACTAAATATAAGCAGGACAACATGCAAGTTGAAGGGTTCTGTCGGTGTCATCCCCAACAGGTGACATTTCACCCTGAATATCTCTTCAGAGAGGCTTCAACAAAGTTTGCAAGCCATTCCAAGCTTTAGATCACTCATGCGTTCAACAAGTATTTAGTGAGTACCAGGTACTTTCCTAGTTGCTGAGATTATAGCCATAAACAGGCAAAATCCAGCAGAGCTTGCCTTTTGGTGGAAATAAAAGAATACAGCATATATAAAAAAACAGAAAGAACTGTGGGGTGTGAAGTGGAGAATTATGCATGCAGGGGAAGTGGCAGAGGTCAGGGAAACGCTACCTGAAGTGACAGCCTATCAAGATATGACGATAATAGAACACTCCAAGCAGTAAAGTGGCCAGTACAAAGGCCCTGTGGCAAGAGTAGACCTGGCAGCTAGTGCGGCTCATGTGCAGTTGAGTCAGAAAGCAGCAAGGGATGAGGTCTGAGAAGAGACGAGGCCAGGCCAAAAACCACTGTAAGCCCTCTGGCTTCTACTCTGGGGAAAATGGGGAGCAGCTACCTGGTTCTAAGCAGAACAGGGATAGATCTGGTGTGCATTTTAACAGGGTCCCTCTAGCAGCTGGGCCGAAACCAGGTTGCAGGGGTCAAGGGTGGCGTAAGGTCAGTAGTGGCAAGGTGAGTATTCACACCCAGGGATTAGCTGACAGGAGGAAGGCTGTGGGAAGCAGGCAGATTCGGATACATTTTGAAGGACCAGGCGATGGGATTTGTTGACAGCTCTGATAAGGGAGAGGAAAAGAGAGGCGGCAAGAACAACCGCAGCTTTTGTCCTCTGTGAGGATGGCGCTGCCTCCCTAAGATGGGAGGGTTGGGGGAGTCCCAGCTCCTCTGGGATAGGGTACGGGGGAGGCGTCTCTGAGTCACTAGGTGGAGAGATCTGCTCCTCAAGTCTAGTCCAGAGCAGAAAGGCCTTTTGTCTCCCACCACCATGTTCCAAGACCAAGCACCTCCAAAACATCACAAAGATGCCAGTAGAGCAGCTCAGGACCCTGATCCCTCATAAGAATCTCAGCCAAAGGAGCCAGCCAAGGCTTCCTCTGCAAGGCTTAATTCGCTCACATCCTGCACCACTCTCTCCAAGGTCCCCAAGGCTCCTTCTCCAAAAGCTGCTTACCTCATGACCTGGGGCCCCACCCAGCCACTGCTCTCGTCGGAGGCAACCTTCACCCAGGGAGGCCAAACAGTAACAGTGCTCACCAAGCATTCTCTTACTATTCCTCGAATTCCTATTTATTATGAGGACTACATTATCTCACATGGGGAAACTGAGGCTGCAGAGGCAAAGTAACTCACCTGAGCTGCAGGATCAGGATTTGAACCCAAGAAAAACGAGCACTTGCGCAACCATACTATACTGCTGAGTTGTGTTCTCAACTTTTCCTTATTAGTAAATTTTTCTACATGAGACATACGACTACACATTTTAAAACTGACTTGCAAGGAGAGCACCAATCCCATCTTTCTGACCATCATTCAAATGTCAGCCACAAAAGTACCCTCTCCTACCAGCTCCATACACCCCACCACCGTTACATCCAACCTACAAAGGAAGCCAAGTACCAAAACTCAGTCCCAGTTTTCCATTTAGATAACAAACTTCCTCTTTACTCCTCCAGTACATCTGCTTGAGGGCAAGCAGAGAGTCAGGACCTTCACCATGGGCCAGTTTCCCCCTTCTGATATTCCTGAAGCCCAGAGGCAGACACTGGCCTAGGAACAAGACTCCAGAGGCAGTGGCAATGAACCTAAGGCATCACACCTGCCCTAGTCAGCTGTTATCACAGCTGAAAGCTCTACAAGGTTCATCACCATCACTGCTCTAGAGGCTTACGGCTGGGCCAGCAACCTTGATTTCTAAATAGAGAGCCTTGTTTGCAAAAGGAACCAATTATGAATAGCTGAGCTGGGCACAGTGGTGCACACCTGTAATCCCAGCACTTGGGAAGCCAAGGCAGGTGGATCGTCATGAGTTTGAGGCCAGCCTGTGCTACACAGCAGCAAGACCCTGTCTAAAAAAAAAAAAAAAAATTATGAGTAACTAAGTGGACCACACAGCCCAAACTCATCTTTATAAGCATTAGAAAAAGTAAATACAAAAAGGGCAAAGAACTGGAAATGGAAAGTTTCATCCTTAGAAAGAATGATGATAACCACTGTTTATCTCTGCAGTGGGCACAAGCTGAGCCACTCACTGATTCAAGCTCCAGAAGGTTTAGGACAGTGTGGCTTATGTCCCCATTTTACAGATGAGGAAACCGAAGCACAAGGAGGTAAAATGGCTTGCTCAAGGTTGCACTCACCAACCTGGCTGAGTCTCTCCTGGGCTGCAGCCTGCTGTCCTGAAAAACCCAGATGCACCAGCTGCCCACTCAGAAATTCTGGTCCCAGGGCTCCCCCAAAAACTGGGTTATCCAGTAAGTCTAGGAATCCAGAGGGAGGAAGGGATAGGAAAATTCTACAAGGCCATAACTGAAGGAAGCATGGGACTTGCCAGAGGTGAAAGCTAACTACTTCTATCTATCCCAAGCGCAACTGAGGCATCTGACAACAGCTGTAGCAAAAAGTCTTTGTAAGAGAAACAACACAACCTGGTTTTTGGATGGACTATTTAGCTAAATCAAGAGGAGAAAAGATGCCTCATATATAACTCAACTCCCATCCCCAGCAAGGAGCCATCAGTGAAATACATCCTGAAACAAAATCTAATTTATGATTACTTATGCTTTCCTTGACTTTAGGAGAAGAAAATAAACAAGGACCTACTCCAACTTCACGAAGCACAAACCCAGATTGACATGTGGACCCTTGCAGAAATAATCCTGCTGATGATACACCTGGTACAGGGCTTAGGGGACTCACAGGTGCTCCCAAGTCCAACTGCCAAAGAGCTCCAATCATTCCTAGGCCTTCAATGCAAAGCACATGTGCTACTTCAAGCCCTGTGGTAAATTTCCACTCCAAAGGCTTGAAAGCGAGAGTACCAAGGTGTGAGGGGTTTTCCACTAAAATGACACCTAACAAGAAAGTCAGCCTAGTGTCTTTTCAACACTGAGAAAAGAACCATAAAGTAGGACAAGAAGGTATTTCTGGATGCTAGTCACCAGCTCCTAAAAACCCTGGGGTGTTTTTCTTGTTACCTAAAAGGAAGGCAGAAACTTTGTGTCCAGATTTGCCTATCATGTTTACCAATGATCACGACAGCGTGGCACAGGAGTGCCTCCCTATACAAAGGGACAAATCGCATTACAGTGACACTAGGGATTAAGCCACAGAAAGTGAACTCTGTCTGAGCACTTCACATTTCAGAAGAAAACCCCAGGTCAATGCCAGAGATGAGCCTCACGTCACCAGAGGAAGGCAGAGCCACAGGTACCAGGCTGAATGGAGGGTCAGGTGAAACAGGCCTAAACATCCCTGCTCCTCTGACTCTCTCCTCGCCCGCCCGTTCCTCTGAACCTCCCTCCCCACCGTGAGGCAGAAAGGAAGGAAAAGATGACAAAAATATGTGACCACAGAGAGTAATGGAGATGTAAAACAACGCAGGTAAAGCCCAATTCAATCAGCCTGAAGTCCCTCTCTACAGTCGAGGACTCTCCTGGGCTCACCCTTTTTGAAAGGGGGTGTCTTTAGTAAGAGGGGGAGACCCAACACTTAAAGGAAGATGGGTAAACAGAAGACAGACTCACTCGCCGGACTCCGTCCCCAAAGCCCCCTTTCCTGGGAGGTTAGTGATTGGAGGAGAGACCCCCAAGCAGAGAGGCCCCTTAGCTCTCTCCAAAGCCCTAAAACTGGCACAAGCCCTCCGCCTCCTCCTCACCACCACTACCACCAGCACCAAAGCCATGCCCTGTTTGCCTGGACCGAGTCACTCAAGTCTCCCCATTGGCCGCACTCACGGGTGGAGGGGGGGATCCCTGCGGCTGCCCAGCGGAGACCTGAGTGCCCGGGGTGCCGGGCGACCGAGGGCCCGTGCTTCCCCGCGCCACCGGCCTCGCTGAGCAGCGGCCTCCCCGCCCGAGCCCCGCGCGTCCCTGAGTCGCCAGCACGTACCCAGAACGGGTCGGAGCCCTCGGATCTGCAGAAGCCGCTGAGCGCCATGCAGGCGGCGGCGAGGGCTCGGAAGCGGGCAGACCGGCTGGCGCTGAGGCGGCGGTGGCGGCGGAGTAGAGCGGGGCCGCAACGCCGCCGGGTTGGCCGGCGTCACGGGGATGCGGAGCTCCGCCCCGCCCCGCCCCGCCTGCCTCGCCCGCCCCGCCCTCCCGGCACGGGTCGCCTCGCGCCGAGGCGTGGGCAGCGCGCGCGCTGGGACCCCTCTTCGCCGTGCGTCCAGGCCGCGCTCGCTGCTCACAAAGCCCCACATGCTCCACAGCCCACTCCCACCCCCTAACCCCATCGGACTGACCCTGGAGACTTTGCTAACCCTGCAAACCTGCTGTGACCTTCCCGTCCTGACCATGCCACCGGGTTTTGAGGCCTGATACAGAGACAGCAATCCTAACCTGGAGAAACAGCGTGGCCAAAGCCTTGTGTCAGTACAAATGGCGCTAGGCCCATAACTGCATCCTCATTCCGTCCTCGCTGCTGCTACTTCCTCTTGTTGCTGGAGCAAAACCAGGGCCACCTGTCTCTCAACTGCCAGGCAGGGATTTGAACTCAGGTGGCTGGTTCCAAAGTCAATAGAAATAGGACAAAGGGAAGGCTCTGACGCACCTACCATTTCTGGAGGGGGAAACAGACTTAGAGAAGCGATTTGCTCAAGCACTCAGTAACAAGTAATGGAGGTGGGGTTCTCTCTCAGATCAGGCTGGCCCAGGGCAGCTCAGGCCCAGGCGCCTATATCTGGTCCACACTCCACCTCACCTGTGTGCAGAGGCTCCTGAGCACCACTCAGGAAATCAGCAGATAATTCATCTTCATCTCAGAGGCACAGAAATGGAGGCCTAGAGACACACCAGGGCTCACCGGCGTTTTCGGCTGCCAGCTTCCTAGGGCTGCATGCTTAGCCATTGACTTGAGTTAACCAACATCATTTGCACAACAGCTCACAGCAAAATAATACCCGTGTCCTCAGATGAGGAAACCATGCCCCCCCCCCCAAGCAGAGTAATTTAGCAGGGGTCCTTTGTATGATAAGTGACTCAACCCAGCTTTGAGCCCAGCTGGCCTGGCTGAGGACAAGGATAACACAACCAGTAATGTTCACCATGTGCTATGTTGATTCACACATGCTTAACAGCCAGCCAGGAGCACACTTGTGATACCACCGCTCTGGGAGGCCGAGGCAGGGGGATTGTAAATTTGATCCTATCCTGTGCAGTTTAGGGAATCCTGACTCAAAATTTAAAATGGTAAACAGGTGTAGGGTGGTAGCTCAGTGTGAAGGTTCAGTCTTCAGTATCACAAAAATATGAAAGTTTTTAAATGAAAAAAAGCAATTACAGGGGCTAGGGCTGATGCTGGGGCCAGGGATTCTAACCTTTCTCTGTGATTCCAGCAATACCTTCCCCTGTCCTCTCCTCCATAGTTTCCAAATAATGTGTGGTTTCCACTACACACACACAAAATAGTTACAGCAAATAAAACAGGGGCTATGTTTGAATTTGAGGTCTGCCCCTCTTCAAAAGGACCTGGGAGGTAGGAGAAAGGGATTGTTTTGATTGGCCCAAGACCCCTCAGAAGGAATGAATTCTTACAGAAGAGTTACTTTCAGGTGATGATGCTTAGTGTGCTATTGCTGAGACGTTCACACATTCGGTAAATGCTTCCTGAGCATCTACTATATGCCAGGTGTCTTGCTAGGGAAGTCAAACTTTCTTGTTTCAGGTGTTCTTGTAGAGCAAAAGCAGGGTCTACAAGGTACTAGGTAAGCACTCTGCCACTGGGACTTTCTCCCCAGCCCTCAACTCTCAAGTGATTTGTAAGAGCTAGGTTGTTCACTTTTAACTGCATTTATGTTAAGTGAATATATTAATCTAATAAACATATAAATAAAAGTGCAGACAAATGTGATAGGACCCAGGAAAAAAAAAGTGAGCATAACAGGCTATAAGAGGCCCTGGCCGGGTGGTAGAAGTCAGGACGGCTTTCTGGAGGACGGGCCTCTGCACTGAGTAAGGCCATGAGTAGGCTTCAGGCCGGAGTTGTGCTCCAGGATGAAAGAGGCAACTGAGAGAACTCATGAGGCAGAGAAGCTTCTTGTCAGGCCCTGGAGACCCATGTGGATCCAAGTGAGAATAATGCTCACCATTGGCAGACATTGACCAGGGAGGGGAGTGAGAGAACCCACGAGGGACATGGAAATGGCCCACAGAACTCCAGGGAGGGATGCAGAAGGGATCCACCTGGGAGAGGAGGACCTCGGCAAGGGCAGAGTAGCCAGGGTCTTGGTGGCCAAGAGAGAGCAGTGGGAGCCCCAGATGGAAAGCACCAGACACAGCGACAAAGTCAGATTTATTTCATTCATTGTTTGTTTGTTTGTTTTGGAGACAGAGTCTTGTATGTAGTTCCGGCTGGCCTTGAACTCACTATGTAGCCAAGGATGGTGTCTAACTGGTGGCAGTCCTTCTGCCTCAACCTCCCAACTGCTCGGGTTACAGGTGTGCACCGCCACACCCAGCTGCATTCATTCTTCCAGCAACTTTTTTTCTCTCTGAGCAAATATATGAAAAGGTACTCAGCAACATTAGTCATCATGGAAATGCAGCTAGGACAGCTTTGGAATAAAACTTTGGTGAGTTCTTCTAAGGTTAAAATGCAATGACATAGTGACACAGCAATTCCACCCCTGACTGAGAAGAGGGACTGCTGTAGCTGCCAAAAGACACCTATAGACGTGTTTCATCCCCGCCACAGTCCATGTGGCTCCACCTCCCCTAATAAAGAGCAAAGGAAAGCACTCAGGAGACAGTGCCTATTTTATGTTGGTCAAAAATGGGCAAAATGAACAATATGTGGGTCGCAGTCAGAACAGTGGTTGTCATTAGCAGATTTTTTTGGTTTTGTGTTGGGAGCCGCGTCTGTGATAGCTCGCCTTGCGCGGCGGACGTGCGGCCTGTGGTAAAGAGCAAAGCCTGAGGTAGATTACCCCTCCCATCGAATATGTTAGTTTCCTGCTTACCGCGTAAACAACCCGCTCAACAATATAGTCTGCCTGGCAACTGATGATGTTAGCCAATCAGCTTGCCTTGCTTACTTTAACATGATTGGACACTGTACCCGTATATATACTGGTGCCACCCCTGGGCGGAAGAAGAAGCCAGGTAGAAGCCCGGAAGTAGAAGCCCAGAAGGAGCCGCGGAGAGCGGACCGGTAGAGGCTTTGGGGCAGACTGAAGCACAAAAGGAGCCGCGGGGAGCGGACCAGAGGAGGCTTCAGCTGGGAGAACCCAGGGCAGGCTGTACGGAGAAGGAAAATAAAAAGAAAAGGTTGTCCACTACCAGACTTTGTCGTGTGTCCTTCCTGCCGGCCGGGAGCGGACATCGACATTTGGTGGCCCGTACGGGGACTGATCACCCCCGAGACGTGGAAGTGGACAACGCTCCAGTACAGAGCTGCGAGACAGGTGAGTTGGGGATAAGCCTGGGCTCTGGGTGGCGCGCACCTACAGGGCTTTTAGACTCCCCTCAGGCTCACGCGTAAGTGGCGGATTCCTTGGGCCTCACGCGGTGAGTAACATATTAAAAGATGGGAAACATGCTAGGTAGTAACATTAAGAGCGAGGGTGGTTGTGGAGAAAGCTCTCAAGAGCTTACAAAAGTACGCAGGGTATCTGAGCAGGCCCAGTCAGGGAGCTCCCGAGAGGGGTCCGTCAAGGGGAACAAGGATGCTAAGGAGGAGGACGGGGCTCTAGCCTCGGAGTCGTCTGACTCCGAGGACGAGGGAAAGTTGAATGGCAAGGAGGCCAAAGAGACCAGCTGTCAGGAGCCTAAATCGCTCAATAAGGAGTCACAGGGTTCTTTTCCAGCGTTGCCCCGCGAATTGCGCTCTGCTCAACCTGGTCTGCGGAGGAGTAGAGAGCTCCTGAGCGCTCCCCGGCGCGAGAGGGAGGCGAAGCCTTCCGCCCCACCTTGGGGGCCGTTTCTGGAGGCGATTCCTCGCCACGAGGCGGCCGCCTGGGAGCTCTCTCCCCTTTCGCCAGAACAGGAAGTGATGCACGGGCCCCCATTTTCCGCCCAATCACGGCCGCTGTCTTATGCTCCGCCGCCGGCGGGTCGGTATTTTTACAGGCGGCTTTGGCAGGGGGGACGCTTGTCTCATGAGGTACATCCACCTGGGATAGATAGTGGCCCCTACGGGATATTTCCTGTACAAGTAGCTATGGGCCAGGGACGCAATGTATGGGAGCCTTTTGAGATAAAGCAGATTAGAGAACTTAAAAATGCAGTTACAACCTTTGGGCCGACTGCGCCTTACACCATTGCCATGCTGGAGAATCTGTCTTCTGGGCCCCTCACCCCCGCGGACTGGATTCAGCTGGCAAAGGCGTGTCTGCCCTCGGGCAGTTACCTGGATTGGCGAGCCTGGTACGCAGAGTTCTCTGCAGAGCAGGCTGAGAGAAACGCCAATCGGGGAAACCGGGGGTGGAACAAGGAAATGCTTATGGGAAAAGGTCGGCACGCTGATGACCAGACCCAGTTCCCCGGCGCTGTCTATGAACAAATCAATGCCATAGGGCTCCGCGCCTGGAAACAGGTAAGTGGTGCCAGAACAGCCTCCTTGTGTCTTTCAAAAATAATTCAGGGTACCACAGAGCCATTTGTTGACTTTGTGGCCCGAATGCAAGATGCTGCCGATAAGATATTTCCTGATCCGGGAGTGGCTCAACCGCTGGTAAGACAGCTGATTTTTGAGCAATGTACAAAGGAGTGCAAGGCAGCGATAGCTCCTCATAAGAACAAGGACCTCAACGCCTGGATTAGGATATGTAGAGAGATAGGGGGGCCGCTCTCCAACTCGGGAGTGGCTGCTCTCCTGGCCGCGGCTGTACAGCAGAGGGGACCTCGCGGGTTAGAAGGGGAATGTAAGGCTAAAGGGTGTTTTGCCTGCGGGGAGCCAGGACACATTAAACGTCATTGCCCAAACAATGCAGATGCTAGGCCTCGCCCTAGGAATGAAGAACCATATGTTTGTGGGCGATGCAAAAAGGGATCACACAAAGCTGAGGAGTGTAGGTCGGTCTTTGATGCTCAGGGCAACCGTATTTGTGGACAAGAT